CACCTCAGTAGTATAAAAAAGGATTATAAAGTATTAAACATGTATGTATATTTGTTATTTATATATATTTATTTATATATGGAAAGTTTAGTATGTATGTATATCAATTATTACCAGTACCGCATTTGAGTATTCTGACTTCCCTATGGTTGACTGGGAAAGAATGCTTTTAGCATTATGTCCGCCGTGCACACATATATGTACTAATGAATAAATAAACAAAAATCTTAAAAAAAAAAATCCCGTTACACAAACTTCGTCAGTTGTAAACCCATTTGGAAAATTCTTTTTTTTTTATCTAAAAAAATATACTTACAAATTGGTAACATAGAAATTTTATCATATATAATTCGATAGTTTAATTTTTAAATCAATGCTACTAGTTTTGCCACAACTGAAGTTAGTTTTGGAACACAATTGTCAATACAAATCAAACGAGCACATAGCTGACAGATATATCATTACTAATTCCTTTGGCCATTAATCATTAGATCCTTTATCATCAGACCAGCTCGGTAATACCATAATATTGTATTGTCACCGAACTGCACAAGTGTATAAAATTTCAGCACAAATAAATGCTGGCAATTATTTTTTATTTATGCAATTTACGAGTAGAATGGCAAACAAGCTGACGGTCCACCTGATGAAAAGTGGTAACCGTCGCCTGTAGACATGAGCAGTACCATGGACATAACAGAGTATACTGTTTCGCCCATGATACCCCCGATGCGTTGCTATTTCTGAGGACTCAGCAAACAAGTTTTGTACAAAGTCTTCCTCTGGTAAATACGAGTAGTAAATGCATTGCAAATTTTGAAGGACATATTAAAAGCAATTTAAATAAAAGCTTGAAAACAGTAGCTTGTCCTTCCGCCCAAATATTACGTATATCAAATTGCGTGACAATTACTTGAGATAGTAAAACGGAGAGGAGAGAGACAAATAAACAAATATTAATGAACCTATAGCTACTTTCTCCTTTCAGATTCTCAAGGTTGGCTGGAAGAAATTCTTTTAAGAGATAAATCCGTTTGTGTACGTTTGTATAACGAGTATAATCTAATATCTATAATAAAAGTGAATGTACAAAAGCATATATATAATAAAATAAGGAAAAAAACAAACGAACTTTCACTTTCATAATATTAATAATAATAAAATATTATTAAAATAATTATACAAGTGAAATAATAACAATATACACACATACTAGTAATTATAGACCTATAAAGATATGTAACATGTCAAACTAGATCTACCAGTTTATACCCTTCGGTGTATAACCGGTTTAGTTTTATCTTAAAGGAAAACTAGTGTCATTTTTATTATAAAAGTGTTGCCATAAGTGTGTCTGTCGGTCACAGAGACCCGGTCCGGTCATGTGGTCAGACACATTACTGTCGCGAGTCCGAGAAACATGCTGATTTTGTTTCGTATTTTACAAATGTAAACATGCCATTTCCAATGTTTAAAATATTAATTAATAATATTTTTTGTTTAACACTACCCTACCCACTCATACATCTATACCTCTTTACAATTATTTACCATGGAACTGTATTACTTAATCATTGCTGTGGATGTCTGAACTGCAGCAACATAGATTTTATTTAATTTATATATTAATTAATCTGACTTTATTGACACTCATTGTTGTAGTTTCTTTCATACATAGATTTACATTACTTACATACATCCACTTTAACTCGTCTACCTTTCTTTATAATTACAATTATCGTTTATATAATTGGAATCCGTTATTTGGAGTGCCATCAGCACTCGCCCCTGCATTCGCGTCCGGTGAAGCTGTAAAGGCCACACACGGCCAACAGCAAACACATTCAGAAAAAAAAAAAAAAAAAAAAAAAAAAACTTTTTCCTTTCAGATTCTCAAGGTTGGCTGGAAGAAATTCTTTAAGAGATAAATCCGCTGTATTTGTAACACTTAGCGTGTAAGTTATTTTTAAGAGCTGTGGAATTTTGTATTAAATAAATAAATTAATGAGTGAAAATTAAATAGTAACGCCACCTGCACTATCGGTATATGCTGGCGGAACACCAGTGAGGTATGATAGGTGAGGATGAAGTAGGTCAGTTGGCCCATCGTGACGAATTCAACATTAATCACGATAGTTTCCAGGGAGAAGCACTTGTAGGTCGACCTAATAGAGTATATTGCTAACAAGGGGACGGTCACCTCTACGTGATCCCCCTGGGAACCATTGTGCTGAATTCCAGGTGTATTCATTACGGTGGGCTAACAGACCTGCATTTTCATTTTCACCTATCATCCCTCACTGGTGCACCGCTAGCGTATACCATTAGCACAGGCGAGGTTACAATTCTATTACCATCCATTAAAAAAAACAAGGGGACAGTTCGACTCTATTACTAACAATTCCTTCCATCCCTTGAGAAAATTTTATATGAGGGGTCTTAATAAGAGCAATAGAATTCAAAACAATTATTTTTAGAAATTTTGCTAATCTGTTTATTCATTCCGGCGTTACTCAAAGACTTACTCCAAACTGGATACAGTCGGCACAAATGTGTTCCTGATGGTCTAACTTAAAAAACAACCTTTAACTGTCCACTGCTGAACATAAGCCTTCCCCTTGGAGGCTTTTCAGTAGTTGCCACGCTTGGCAGGCGAATTAGCAACCGCAGTCAGGCTTTAGAGATGTTTTAAGAAGGACGCTGTTGCTCGTCCTTCGCCTTCCCATAATCGCCTCTTACGACACCCACGGGAACGGAAGGGGTGGTCTATTCTATACCGGGACCACACGGTCATATAATAATAATAAGTATACATATATTTATTTAAATGTACTATGTCATTAAAAAGCCCGTACTATGCACGTTTGTCATTCAAATGTCTATTCTTGTAGCGAAGCAAATTTGTTATTCATTCCATTTACATGAATACTCGTATTGACACATTATTGCGATTTTTTTCTGAAAAAAAAAAAGGTGAAAGTAATTTTGTTTGTTTATTAATTTTAGCACAATAACGGATTATCGTAGGTACTAATAAAATATGTTAATAACAGAGGAGCGGTATCTAAAATTTTAAAAACGTCGAACAACAAATAAACTTTTCCTTATTTCCTATTGTCAATAATATTTCGAAAACAAATAATAGACATGTTTACTTATATTTTTATATCTAAACTTCTATTTGAACATACAGTTTTATAAAAAAAAAAAACATAATGAGTAACAGAATAAATCAACATTTATGTAAATGTAATGTAAATGCATTCTTTTTTCATGAAAGTTAGTAATATACATATTGTTTTTTTTTTTTTTTGAAAAATGTCTTTAACTTTTACTTTTAAATTGTAATCGTTAGACATAAGTAATTTATATTTTACTAAAAGTGAAGAAATTTTACAATCGTTAGCGATTTTTAATCAAATATAGACAAAAATGTAGTTTGAAAAAAAGCCGAAAAAAAAAATTTTACTATTGTTTCTTTAACAATACTCATTTTATTATAGTGTTTTAGGTTACGAATAATTATTCGTAGTGTTACGCTTTTTGTAATTTTTTATGAAAATTATACATAAGATGCAAAAATTATGATGCTGTACCACACAGATATGGCAAAATTATATTAAAGTTTTTAAGCTACTTGAAAAAGGAGGAAGTTTATTTATTTATTTATTTTTATTGTACCAATTTTAAACTTATTTCAATAATCCCATTTACAACTGATAGTATTTTCTGTCATGATTATTCCATTTCAATTATGAAGAAAATATTTATTTATTTTATTTATTCTTTATTACACAATAAAACTTTGTACAGGTGGTGAGCTTAATGCCATATGGCATTCTCTACAAGCTAACCATTAGCTTAAAACAGAAAGCATATGAAGAGCAGATTTGGTAAAAAATATGTGGCATAATTATAATAACATAGTAATTTTATTAATATAATAATAGGATCAAGTTTTTTTATTAACTTTATATTATTATTATTAGTTTATTATCTTAATTTATTGATTATTCATCAGACTACCGAACCTAAAACACTTAACGTTAACATTATTTCGATTTCAAAATCAATCTTCTTCGGAACGTTAATTAGCGTGACAAGTAATTTAAACACGAGCATTTTGTTGGTTATTCTTTTGCGTTGTCACGCGATTTTTTTTTCTAAAAAAGAATGCCAGAATGTCACTTTCGAAACGGTACGTGTAGCAATTCCGTCTAGTGTATAATTCATTATGTTACTGATGGTAATTAGTCGCTGTGTGTTGATATTTACAACATAGTGTTCAGTGTTTATGACACTTCTTTCTAGAAATTTCTATAAAATGCTGTTGACATTAGAGATTTTTGGTGCTCGATTTATAGATTCAATTAATTCGGTTTATTTAATTTACCTTAAATATTGAATCATCTATAGTAAGTGAGAACAAGAATGGTTTCACCATATCAAGAGATATTGTCAAGGATATTAATTCTTCTTGTAAAAATGTACTGTAAATGCATTTGGGCAATCATTATCTCTGAGAGCCTTCGTGGCATATTTTTCTTCAATTATTAAATGTGTTGCAAAAAATTGTCCATCCATCCATATAATTTATTACTAAAAATGATTTTAAAAAATCATAATCGGTTCGATTTGTTCTCTTATTCGGTGCTCATTATATTTTAAGAACTCATCGACCGTATTTTAAGACTTTAATTGAAACATTTTAGCATAATACCGTCATAATTTATTTAAGAATGCAATAAAATTTAATTGTACAAATTAAGAGGATATCTTCTTATTTAATACTTAAACGATCTTATTATTTCTAAGCAAATTTAAGTATAACTGTACTTATTTTGCTAACAATCTGTTATTTCCTAATTTGCAACAGTCTACTTCTTCATTCACCTATTAGGTATTACCTTACCGGTCTTTGTAATGTCACGAATCCAAATTATGCTAAGTTGATCATTATTCCCGCCAATGTTATTAACAAAATTTCTCTTTTGTTACAGATGAGTTACAAGAAGAAATTCTTTCAGATGTGAATGTAATTATTTGAGAGACAGCAACAGAAAACAAACAATATGCCCAAAGTTCAAGTCACTTTCGAAAATTAAAATTCAAAACTGCGAAACGAAAAGAATGGAATTAATATTTACAATGACAAGTGTGCCCTTTGTGAGCATTGTAAAAAATATATAAACAAAGTTAACCTATTGTTTTTGACAGTGATGCTTACACTATGGCTAGAATAACTGCACACTCGAAATCTCGCCTAATATGTAGGCGAGGAAAATCTATAAGACTTGTAGATCTAACCAAAATATTAGTTTTAATATTAGCTGTTAATGTAGAATACATTAAATGTAGTCAAAATAAAACAGAAGACAATCCTAGAGCAGCCGAAATAGATATAGGTAAAAGAGTGAAGATAATTAAAGCTATTTCTGGAAATTTCTTCGGTGATGTGTACAGAAATGGGACATTTAGAACTGGTAATATGTTGTGGGACGATATTTTAAATAAGTGTACAGTGAATCCAACAGTGATTTGTTTGCAGAAGAACTTCTATTCGTATATAGATCATAAACTTAATTACGCCGGTGATATAAATTTAGGTGGTGGTGTGTGTTTCGAGAAAAATAAGGTTGATATAAATAAATATAGTAAAGAAGCTAATATGATCTACCTCACTGGGAACAAAGAAGAGTCGGATAACATTGGAAGGTCTTTTGATGAAGAAAATGAAATTGACGATGAAGAAGAATCAGGTAAGGTTATCATTTTTTGTTGCTATAAGATTTTAATTACACACTTATTACTAATATGGTTGCCGTCTTTATTTATTTATTTATTATTTATATCAATTTATATAACACAAGTGTTTCATGTAATACTTTTAATTCTTCTTCCAACTCCTAATCTCAGCACAATTAGGGGTCGTGTCTTCTTGTACAGTGGCGCCAGGACAGTCCTGGGTTGTTATAAAAGTTAGGTGCTTTCATCTCCTTCTCGATATTGGACCACCCCATGTATCTGGAGGTCTTCGTTTCCCCATAACGGTTCGTGAGGAAATTCATTACAGTTTTTATCAAGAAGTTATCATCCTTTCTCATTATATGGTCACATCATTGAAGTTTATTTTATTTTAGTTCATCCGTTATTGGTGCATCTCTGGAAAATTCTACTAGAAAACATTCTACTATTTATTTATTTATTTATTTATCTTACTGTTTATTGCACCAGAAACATAAAAATGAACAATGGCATATAAACAATTCAAGTGAAATACAGTAAATATAGCATAAACTACAGATTGAAATATACACATAAAGGTACAAAAGATGGTCTTATGGTTAAAGCAATCCTTTACTGACCACTTTTGGTTAATACTAATAAGATAAATTCGACAAATAATTAATATTTGTCCAAAACCAAATTACATTTTTTTAAAATGATCTAAAGAGGCCTTATCGCTGGATTAATTTTATTTTAAATATACATAAGAATACAATAATTTGAATATTTTTTAAAATATTTTAAATTATGATAAAATGAAGAAGGTGAAACGACTTTCGACTAATTTGACTAATCTGTACCCGTCTGTACTAAAAGGGAGAAAGATGTGCATTATAATAATTATCAGAAATACTCGGCTTTTAAAGAAAGCAGGTCAATATTAAATACACTTTGAACTTTATTACTAATACGCATCGCTATAGTGAACGTGTTTTTTTTTTTCTTTTTCTAAACTAGCAAGTCATTTATGCAGTTATGAGAAAATAACAAAATGATTGCCCTTTCATCAAGGTCTGACGATGAGAAATTGGATTGTTGTATAGTTTAATACCATGTCTTAATAATTTATTTCTCATCTTATAAACCTTTATAGGTCATGTACTCGAATCTGACCGACATTTACGAATTTGCTTATCAATTAAACGTCCAAATAAGTTAATAAAAATACTATAGTTGTTTCCTAATAATTTAGCAATTTTTAGACACAGAGTTACATATCTTGTTAGTTAAAATAGAAATATAAAAAAATGGGTTTCGTTAAAGTACTTTTATAATTATTGTTATTATTCTCTTTTAGGAAATAAGTTACTTTATGTATATTCATAAAGTTCAATGTCCGTTATAACAGGGAAATTTGAATTATTAATATCATCCCTGTTATAAAAATTATAAATGTACTATAATATATATATATATATATATAGTTTGAACAATGAAATTAATTCAAACTAATATGTAGGTAGTATATTTTTTTTAAATGACGCCTACGAGTATATCTATCTTCAAGTAATGATTACGGGGTAGGTACTGAAATCTGCATGACAAAAATCTCTCGTTGTCTACTTCCCTTGTTTCATCCACTTTCATGTCTTTCGCATGAACAGCCATTTGAAAAACAAATCAAGTGGCATTCTGTTTAGTTGTGACATCAAATACTACCAATTCTATTTTTTTTTTAAATCAAATCTGTTAATATTTTTTGTTAGTTACAAAATCCTGTTAGCCTACTTTTATACTACTACTGTAGTGTATTCAATAAATTTATGTTATATTTTTACTAGCGATCAGGCCCGTTTTTACACGGGTAGATAGAATTTACACGAATAATATATAGCCTATATTACTCACGGATAATGTAGTTTTCAACACATGAAAGAATTTTTAAAAACAGTTAAGTAGTTTTTGAGGTTATCCATTACAAACAAACAATCGAATCTTTATTTATTTCTTTGTACTTGATTGTAAATCTCTACTAATATTAGAAAGAGGAAAGATTTATATTTTTGTTTGTAACGCATTAACCCAATACTACTGACTATAGAATTATTAGCAATGTGAAATAGCGGTCCTATTGGTAACAATATATCCTGTCAGACCGACCCCCACGTGGTCCCCCCTGGAAACCATCGTGCTGAACTTTAGGTGTATTTATCACGATGAGCTAACTGACCTGCCTTTTCATTCTCATCTATCATCACTCACTGGTGCCTCGCCAGCATATCTCTTTAGGGCACACGGGGTTACCATTCCATTATCATCCATTAAAAAATAAAACCACAATACTATTGTAACCAGTTTCCAGCAGCAGTATTTCCGAACCGATACTTCAACATAACCTTCAAGAAAAGAGCATATTCCCTTTTAAAAGGCCGGCAGCACACCTGCAATGCCGTTGGTGTTGTGGGTGACCATGGGCGGCGGTAATTACTTACCATCAGGTGAGCCGCATGCTCGTTTGCCCCCTGTGTCAAAAATTCTTTCACCGTTCGAATGCTATATTATCACTAAGTGACATAGGCTACGGATTATTTTTGGAAATTATACCTATCCTTGGGTAGCCGGGAGTGGTCGCCAGTAATACATAGAGAAATATGGCAGTGGAAAGTAAATGTACAAAGGCGAGCTTAACTCTACAAGAGTTCAAGCAAGCACATAGTAGAAAAGAGCATCAATGGATTAAAACGGACATGTATTCTTATTTATTTAAATGTTCATAAAGCATCAGGATACAGTAAGTAATAAATATTATAATATTATGCAGCGATAGCTTAACAAATAAATTTAACAGCCATTTTACATGACCGGACCTTTTCAGAAGAAAGTAGCAAAGAAATATGTCAGACCTTCGTCAGGAAAGTAATGTAGTGAAACCAGAGGTCTCACTATAATGGTTACGTTCAATATGACACCTCGGTATTGTGACAAGAATGTTAAGGAATTGACTATTGTTTAGCAATGTTAATTTATTCATATGCGTGCGCTTTCTTGTGCTAACCATTTTGTGAAATTGTGACCTAATTAGGAATGACTGGAAGCAACCCGAAGCGATGTGTTTGTAAATTGTTAAGTCTACATTTTTAGTTTTTATTTTCAATAAAACAATACGCATTCCTTAATCAAGACAGTCAAAAAAAAATTACTTGTTTATGACATAAGCGGAAAAGAGGAAGAGGAAAACCGAGGAATAACTACATGGGACAGATAAAAGAAACACTAGGTGTCATGTCGTATAGGGAGATCAAGGATATGGTCTGGGATAGAGCTGGCTGGAAGAAGATGCATGAATTAGTTGCACCGACAAGAGGAAACTCTTAAATGAAAAAAAAATGACATAAGCAGTTGGAGCCCTTCCCAAAAAGGAATTATTAGTTCCTTAATCAAGATAGTCAAATTAAAAAAAAATAACTTTTTTATGACATATGCAGTTAGTGCCCTCCCAAAAAAAGGGATTTTTAGTAATAATAAATAATAATGAATACTAGCAGTCCAATTCGACAAAGTTGACGTTCTTGGGTTCATTCTGTAAGCCATCGTGCTCAATTTCAAATCCTGCCTTCTCATCCTCACCCATCATTGCCCGTAATCACCGTTACATTGCCAGTATATACTGTTAACGTGGATGAGGTTACCATTCCATTATCATCCATTAAGAAAAGACACATGAAGTTCGTAATTATTTTAATAGAAATTGTTGTATTAATAAATGTATATAAAAGAATAGCGTACTTTGGTACTGAGTTATCTTTATCTACGCCGAAAAGAACCTGCCGTGATGATAAATAACATATTGTATTGTATTAAAAAATTTGTATTGTACATCATTTATATTGGACACATTAAATGATTTAATATACAATACCATATTTATATATATACATACGTGTGTGTGTAATTAATATAATTTAAATAAAATAAAGTATATATATTTATAATATTAAAGTATATATATTTATAGAATAGCAGCTTCAGAACAAGTTGTTTTTGTTAAATTAATAAACATATACTTTGGTTAAATTTTTAGATTATTAAAACTTTGTGAAAATATAATAATTTCTCATTAAAATTATAACAGAAACACGCTCTAAATGAAATTAGTAACAAATCGATACACTCGATCAATTAAACGAATTTTTTTATATTACTATTGAACATCAGCAGACGCCGGAACAATTATTCGCCTGTTTAAATTTTCATTAAATTATGTTGTAATAAACTTTAAATTACTTAATGTCAATATTGTTTGAAACTCTATCAGTTCCCGCTATAAATGTAGTTTCAAATATATATAATTATATTTATATTATAAAGTTATATTTATATCATTTAAATATGCAACTACATACATATAGTTTCGCAGTTTACACAAAAACTAATCGCAAACACTAAAAAGTGAACACTATTCGTTGTAAAATATAACAAAACTGTGATGCAATCAAAAAGAAGCTCTATGACCTCGAAATAAAGATTACAATAACATTGTAATGATTGCACAAGATTATAAAACGTTCAAAACAAATTCTTGAATGGGATCGAATGACCGTAAACTAACTATGAGCCTTACAGCAAACTAATAAGATTGCCTTTAGTAAAATCACAATTTGTTTTCTTTTGCTTTCACCGGAAAATCAGCAGATATAATATATTATACATACGTATCCGCTAAAAGTGATACGAATGAAAGTTGAAAGCGAATAGTGTGAGAGTTCGAACATGAGTTACAAGGTTACTCAATAAATATTAGGGAAAAGTCGTTTGCTTGGGCACCTCTGTCCCTTTCGTGTTTCTACCGTGAAGCAGTCGTGTTTGCATGGTTGTGTTTCAGTTTGAAGAGTGCGATATGACAGTGAATTTACAGGGTACAGAGGAATAACACCTAAGTCTTCAGGAATGACAATACATGGGGGGATATCATGGGCGAAACAGTATACTCTGTTATGTCCATGGATCATGTATATAGGCGACGGTTACTACT